TAAAACACAAGCAAGATTTGTTTACTTTTTGGCCGTGATCTTCCACCCAGTAATGAAGATACTGTTGGTAAGAGGATGAAAGGACAACCTTGCATCCAACATCAAGCCCACCTGTTTCCAAGGGGGAAACTATCAAGGTGAGCTCTTTGATCACCTGTTCTAAACTTAGCTGTTTACATTTCCACAAGATACAGAAAACTTATTGTGTTCTTGGAATTTTCATATAAACTTACGCTACAGCAGGAAACTTTTTCATGGTAATAACAGTAAAAACCTCAAACTTGAGACCCCCTAATTTGAATCTTTTTCATAGTAAAAGACATAGAAGACTCAAACTTGAAACCCCTTATTACAAACAAATCAATCTAAAAAAGGCTTGCACTATGTCCGTTTCCCCGTAGCACGCCGACGTGCACACACCAATCGCTTCCTGTAGAGGGTGGATAGAACCTATAAACAAGTCTCAGTGTTAAACCGAGAATGGCCTTTGTCAAGAGGCTCAGACAGCGAGAGCGTTAAACATGCTCCTTTGTTCATACTTTTATTGGGGACAACGGATATGCCCATAGCAAATTGCGACGTTATGTTTCGTTACGAGAAACATCCACCGTCCGATCAACAAGTGAGAGAACCCGCGCTTGAAACCCAGCGTAGCCATATATTGCGCGGGTTTCATATGCAGTTCCTCATGCGAAGGGAGTATCCACTTTCATGGGTGGGTCCACTCACAGACTTTTACTTGAGATCTTGCAACCAAACTGTTAGACAGCAGTCAGTCGTTGCCCGTCTGCTCAACTGATGCACTGCAGCAATTCAGTCTCGGCTGAGGCAGAGACACAGAATGTTCTCTTATCGAGAAAGATTACCGTGCTTTGGTTTGCCCTTGCACCTGACACAAAGGACTTCGGGCACTATGCAACTTGCTGGTTCGTTATATATATCTATATATATGTGTACTTTCTCCTTGCTCTCTCAAAAGTGTCCAATATTGTCATCAAGCTTCCTATTGATGCGACTCCCTAAAGTTCCTCTGATTGTATTCACGGAAATCTTGTTTCTTACCTTTACTTGAATTAAAAACTTGAATATCTATTTATCTACATCTCACTATACTCTAGTCACAATGCCCTTGAACCCGTACAAAACCTCAGTGACCAAATCCAAGAGCGTCAAGAGATGGTCTCGTGCGATTCGTGAAAATGATCATCTTGGCACGCTCTCAAAATCGGAAATGGTTCAGATCCATGTGCGTTCTTTTTCGGAACCATTTTGATATATTCTGGCTTATGCTTATTTCTTTTGTCTCTCAGTCCATTGTTCGCTGTCATTTCCGCGTGTTGATGTGCCGAGAGTCGGAATCATCACCCATCCCTCCCTCTCTTTCCAACCTCGAGAAGGAGGGTCTAATCGAACGCTTCCCAGTGGACAGTCCAATTCCCCACACCTCTTCTATGCCGGTGATAGATTCTACAGACTTTGTCAAAGTTGGAATTCACATGAAACCGGACGACTTGTATGAAGTCGAAATGGACTTGAAGCGCTTTGGCCTTCGCCGTTTCTCATTCGATTGGGAGACTGACTTAGTGGACCGTGTCAACTTCTTGGCCAGAGAGCTATTCTGGAATTCTTTCTACCGCGCAACACAATCGGACGCTTATAAATATCAAATTAGTGTACATCTACTCAGACGCCAAATCATCCTACCGGTTCTTTCGGCCGAATTTAATCGTTTGGCTTTGATGTACAAGGAACAATGTCGAAACACTGATGTCCTGGAGTACCATTACATGGTCGCTGAGAAAAAAAAGGTCAGGCAAACTTTGTGTTTTGTTTTCTTCACCTGCCCTGAGTTGACAACGTTATGATCTCAGGCTTGCAAGGAATACCACGACTTTTTGGTCAAGTCAGGCGTCGCGCCTGCTTTCGTGAATATCTTCCAGCCACGTAACTATGCTATTATGGGTGATATTTACGAAGTTAAAGTCATGAGTGGTAGCCATTCAGTCGACCAGTTACATATTGCGATACCCCGATGGTGGTCGCAGGCCACCATATCTTTTATGGAAGTCATCGAGGGTCGGGTCAACTATCAGGCCTCATCTCACACCGATTTTCCGGGAAATATCCGTCGTCCTTATAAATACGTCATCAGAACCTTAAATGAGTACGGTGTTGTACCCCGTCACCTGCCTTCCGGCGTCTATAGCAATGATTTCAAGGCCTCTTTACTACCAGCCGAGCTTTCCAATCTCAAGATGAAACCACCTGTCTTCCCCGAGATCACAATCATGACATCAATCTTTCCAGCAACTGCATTCAATTTTTTCGAACATCCAATTGATCATATGCTCAATGATTATTATACAAGTGATGATGATGTATCTTGCGACGAAGTTACTCATAGTGATACCGAAGTTCTCAACGACACTTTCTCTGCTGAAGAGACTGCACTCAAAGAGGTGGAAGATCGCTTCCACACTCAAATTGCTACTTTAAAGACCGAGATACGAAGTTCAATTACTATGTTAGAAGACTTCAAGAAAGATTTCGAGGTCTTGATCCCCAGCGGAATGGATGAATTGAAAAGGGCAAAAGAGAAAATCGAAAAGATTGACGCTAAGCTCGATGCCTTACAAGCGCAGTCAGAACAGGTTCAAAGTGAATCAGTATATGACGAAGCTGAACAAGATGTGGAACCCGTGGAGCACTCTGGCTGAACTGCTTGGTGAGGACTTACTCACTTGCAGCTATGTGACCTTCATCTTGACGTTATAGTGCTGACTAGATATTGTGCCTCATATTTTTTCAAATCGGTCAATAACATACTTCCCAACCATAAATCAAAAAGTCTGCAACCACTTCACTGAAAGGTCGCGAATGGGGCAATTTTGGTCTGTTAAACAGACCAAGCTGAGACTTTCAAAACCTTTTCAGATATTCTCGAAATAGCGTGTTCGATCCTCTCGTATTTTTGTTATCTCTTTGGGTATCTCTTTTTGTGGATGTAGTGTGGTTCCGATGCTGATATTATACAAGAATCAGCTTAAACCACTGTTTGGTTTCTCTTCCACCCCTGTTATCACCAAGTTTCTGTATCCTGCTACATGTTGGATGTATAGTTCTTAAGAACATAAACCAGAAATATGGTCGGTCTAGCTTGTGTTGATTATTGTTCTGGTTGATGTAACTGTGCTTGAATCAAATATATTGAATGTTCTGTGAAATTTGACTAAAGGCATTAACGCTCACGCAGGAGAAGCAACATGAACAGCAGCCACATATATTGAATGAAACTGGTAATGTTTGAGCGGCGAGATAGGAAATGCATTAATGTGAGCAACATCAACCCAAAATCGGAAATTTAACATGACCAAATCGAACGCTGGAAATTGTCAAAAGGTGGAGAGGGTTCCACCTTAATTAAAAATTCGAATCATTATCGTGATTGGTATGCTGTGATCTTTCACAACATACCAATCAACAGAGTGCCAACTTCAAAACACGTAATTGAGGGTGAAAAAAACTGAAAACAATGATGGGTGCTGTTCAAAAGTAATACCCCAATAGGACTTGGACATAGATCACAGTCTGCAGCGGAACTGGGTGGTTACGTTGTTCGAAAAACATAAATACAACTGTAGGGCTAATTGAGAGGGAGCTGAGCTACATCACAACGTGCAGGAACGAGGAGTTGGTATCATTAGCGTGTAGTTGCTTGGGTCTGGTGAAATGGTTCTGATCGCGACCGGTTGAGAGGGCTGATCTCTGACCAATCTTAACGCAGGCGAGCACATCTCTTCCGTGGAATAGCTGGATTTGCCCAAACACGTGTGCCAAATACCACCAAAATGTTGCTTGAGATATGTTAGGAACTGGCCAACGTCCCTTTGCAAAAAAAAATTCAAGTGGGTTGGTCAGGTGAGAAATAATAATGTCTAACGTGTTTCTTATGAATGAGACCAGTTCATGGAATGAAACATGCGTATGGGTCGCGGGCATACTTTGTGATGCAATGATCCCGATCGTCAGTTAGCCTAGTGGAGGCCTATGAAGTGATACGTTGATTGGTACGGAATCATCACTACTTGAAGGGCTGATTGTCAATGCTTCTTGATTCGTTGAGTTCTGCTTGTATGTTCATATTTTTAAAAGCTTCTGTGTAAATCGGTGAAATCAAATCTTTAGAATTCTTACTACAACCATACACTCTCTTAGTTATCCATATTTGACGTAAAATTCTAATCATGAGTACCCAACCAACTAGTACACAATTGACTCCCTCGTCGAATGCTGGGCTGAAAAGGCCTCGGATTGATGATGGAGGTGGTGGACGCCAAAGTGAGTTCCCTATTTGTCACGTAGCTACCAATTCACACGGTATGTTTTCTCAAATGATTCTGTAACGGTGCAAAAATAAGACGGCAACCCTGGTGGAGGAGAATCAGATTCGGAGGGTCTCGAAAGTTCAGGTGGGTCGAAACACTTGTACTTGATACCAATGTACAAACAGAAGGTCAGCTCATTGGATTACTCTAACGGTCATTGGGCTGTGACAGATGGCGATCTTACTCGTGAAGAAATCCTCGAACGCAAAAAATTCAAGACAGCAAGACTGAAAGTACAATCTCACATCAGACATCGTAATGAAGGCATCGGGAAAGTAGCGGCATCACATGAAATACCGAAAGCAGCAACGCCGCTTGCGAGAGCTATTCAAGAATTCTCTCGTATGCTCATGGGAATTCCTCGAAATTCAAGAACCGATTCAGCGTTAGAAAACGCTGGTTTACAGAAACTTCCCGAGCCTCCTTCTGACGCTGAACGCCACGCGTGGGAAACTCGGAAACAAAGGCGAGAGACGTTTGTTCGTGAGGCCCAGGACAAAGCAATGGTGAAATACCTTGCAAGGAAAGGGCCCGGGTTTAAACCTAACCGAAAGCAAAAGAAAACAGTCGAAAAAGACGCAGCAGAGATGGCCACTCTGAAGAATCCAATGCAGCCGGTGATATTCTCTTCGCGCATGTCGTCCGGTGGTTGAAATAGATACGCCCATCATTTTGGAACGCAATGTGAGGCTAGCTTGGCTATGGCCGGTTTTCCAAGGTGTACATTCGACTGGCTGGCATCGTATGATACGCCTTGGAATTCAGCTATGTCATTGATCATATTGGCTCATTGGGTAAAGACTTACGATGCAAACGGAGCTAGAGATTTTGGTATCCTGGTGTCAGATAACACTGCGTCAAATCGGGAAGAAGTACTCCGGCGCTGGGTTGGAAACAAGGCTACAAAATATAGAGAACAAACTCGAAATTGCGAGTTGTATAAGACTCCAGAAGGCCAAAAGATCCTGAAAGACAACATTGAAATAAATAAAAGTATTACACGTAAGAGGTTGAATAAAACAAAGGTTATCAGGATGCTGCTGTGCATCTAATCGTGTACAATCCAGATGCTGACTTTGTTTCCTTCAAAAAAAAGATCGTGGACGCCAGGTTGACTCAAGCCACCAGATTGTTCGGCAAAGATTCACTGGAGGTTGCGATGTTGTCACCTCCAGAGGTGCATTCCGACGAAGAGCTAATGGTGTCTAATGGGTCCGGATCTCGACAAAAGTTAAGGCTAGAATGGAGGAGCTCGGAACTAGATACTCTAATCAATTTGCTGGATCAAGTTCATCAAAAAAGACAAATCTTGCCAAAGGAGAAAAGATTGGCAAAACAATTGATTGAAAGGGGCGTGTACTCACCTAACCCGGATGCAGACAAATTTCCTCCCAAGGGTTACCAACTTTCCTTGGTTTCTCCAAATTGGTATGGACAGCAAGATGGTTTGCTTATAGCTGAATTAGAACTTGATGAAACAAATGCTTGGGACATCAAAAACTTGATCATGGAGGTGATGGACACATTTAAATCAATGTCCGAACGCGCAGCCGCTATGGCCGGGGTTGGTGGGTCAAACTCAATGTTGACTCAATGATGTGCTTCTGTTGTGAATAAACAAGGTCGGCTTTCAAATTTCTTAAACTCAAACCACTTATTGTATATAGATATATTAACATATTTTCGTGTGTTCATTCTTTTATGTTGTGTTATAGCCGGGCTACTGGGTAATATTCGATGTGAAAAAAGATGGTGCTCTCTGTGTGTAAACGACAATCTATTTCAAGTCTTTGAAATCTCATTCCATCAATGTATATAGCAATGTTCTCGTTTTGGTGGCTTCATTCTTTTATTTTCTGCTGAGCCGTAAGATATCTGTATATAGTTTTGTATATAGTTGTGAATAGGTATAAATAAATGATATACAGTTGTAACTCGCAGTGTGACATCTTCACATTTCAGTTACCGTCGTCTACTGATTGTTCCAACCATCCACAGCCCGATTTTTTTTACCTACCCTCAGAGTCATGGTACTCCATCTTTTGGAGTGTGATCTCATGACTCGATCACATTAAGACATATTATACCTGGCGTTATTCTCCCAGGAGCCGACCAAAAGAGGTGGCCGAGGGTTATGTCCTCTCCGGATTCATCACAACGACGATCGATCGAACTGACATCAAACGGTCATCATCCACATATACCACTTGAACAATGGTATACTCTACCAGATCACCGACCAAATGACATGATTTGATGATTGTGACGATTCAACCAATCAAATCTGTGTTCAATCTTGTTTCAGCCAAGCCGAATGAAGTAACCGTCATCGTCCACATATGACTGACATGATTTCAAACGAGGCCCCTAACCTCCAGTTGTTGGTGGGCACCAAACTTATGCCCACCATTTCGTTTGTGTTGCATCATGCCTGAGCAAACCTCAAGGGTTTCCGTTGAAGCTTGCGAAATATTCCATGTACCGTTTTTTGAGGTCCAAGATGCTTGATATTTCGCCTGCCAACTGTTTTCAAGCAATTGAAAACAGCAAATGCCCTCCGACAACCTCCTTAAGCCTTGACATTCGATGAGCACCCACATGTTCCTCATTTTCACCACATATTTGTGATTCTTCAATTGACCATCACTTTTTATCCTCAATTAATTCCGCCGACATCAACCAATTGCATCCATATTTTTTTTAAACGATCCAAATGGCGTCTTTCGGACCAAATCATACCTGCTGCACGTGTGTACCCCTTGGATGCTCTCAGCGTCAATTCAAAAAGAACGGAGAGACACACATTGGTCGGCTTTTCCACCGAACAAACTACCCGAATCACTTGAAAGCTTCAAATGCTGAAGCAACATCAAAGGCACAAGAACCTCACGTTCCCCTTGCGGAAAACACCACACAGGGATCTTCCGCTAGACCTCCACAACCAGGGGAGGAGGCTTTCACTCCTTCCAAAATCCATCTTTTTGGGAGTGACCAAGTGCGTAATAAACGACGTCGGTCTCCAGACCCACCCCCACTTGCTTCGACATCCCGTTTGGACGATGTAGCCCGGCCTCAAAAGAACCCCAGGGTAGTCGAACATTCTTCACATCAACTCACATTCAACTCCGGTCAATATTACACGCCCCGAACACTTCTTCAGCACCCATCTTGTGTTCAATCCATGCTTCAAGTGTTGAACACTCGCCTATTAAACCATGGCTCTATCAAGGCATGTCGAACAGCCCTCAAAATGGAACGGTTGAAAGTGATGACGTCTCTCCGCATCAACAACCCCGAAATCCAACCTGTCTGGGAAGAAATTCCCCTCACCATTCCTAAGCTGTTGAAGATATTCCACATCGACGCGCCTGTTCTTCAGTCACTCTCTTGTAAAGCATGTTTCTCTTTACACGGACTTATTCCAGAACAGCCATCCAAGACGCGATGTGATCACCTCCGATTCACTTCTAAAAAGTCTTCTACTGAAAAAATCAAGTGCAACACTCCACTATACAAGCCCCCCGCTCTGAACTCTACCAAACTCCGACCTGCTCAAATATTTTATCACCAAAATTTCATTGAATGGCTAGCAAGAATGTTACATTCACCAGTTTTTGAGAGCCATCTCGACAGCTCATTAACCCGCAAGCCTCCTACCAATGAGACTTTACAAGACATATGGGATGGGAGTATTTGGAAGACGTTCAAAAAAAATGGCCAGGTCTTTACACGCAAGTCTGGCAACTTAATCTTTGGCTTTTATGTTGACTGGTTTGATCCTTATGGATCCAAACGAGGGCGCCAACATAAAGCTGGGGTAATGCTTCTAATATGCTTCAATTTGCCCCCCGATGTTCGTTACCGAGCTGAGAACATGTTCCTTTATGGATTCACCCCTAGCCGACGAGAACCAAACAGTGAACAAATGAATTTCATATTAAAGCCTCTCATTTCTGAGCTTCTAGACCTTTGGAATGGCATCCGGTTCACCAAAACCGCAAACTACCCTACTGGACGCGTCATAACAATTGCTGTGTGGCCCCTTCTCGCGGACGTACCTGCAATGAAAAAGATATCCGGATTTTCTTCACACAACTCAACTTACTGGTGTTCCAAATGTTATATCAATTTGGACGACCTCAATGCACCTGATCACAAGTGCTTCCAGCCCCGTACCGCGCTTAAAGAGAAACGGCAGGCACAGAAATGGCAAGAGGCACCCACTCTGAAGCGCCAGGAACAACTATTGACAGAATTTGGTTCTCGACACTCTCCTTTCTATGACCTTCCGTATTGGCAGCCTTTAGATTTTGCTACTGTCGATGTAATGCACTGCCTCATCCTGGGCCTTTTAGCAGACTTATCCAATACTTACCTTCAAATTACGGCAGCAGGAAAGGCCCTCAAAACCCAGGAGGATTCTAATATAGCTGATGGTAAATACTTTGAGGTTGAACAACCTTCCATGCTTGGAAAGTTCGCAGACAAACCAGCGAGCTCACACCATTCCTCTGAAAGTCAACTAGATTTCAACTTTTCCTCATCCAAATCATCCACACGATCCCAATATACACGCGCTGCAAAATCAAAGTCGGACACCAGAAGTACGTTTGATCAGACTCAAGATCAATGAGATGCAGACGCAGATTTGGATGGCACAATCAA